TCATGAGAAACCACTTTGAAGATATCAATATGTAATACAAGAAGCATTGTTAATTTCCTAAAAAAAAAAAACATATAAAAGTTTAGAAACACTCATTTATAACACAAATAGCGGGATTGGCCTTATCCTGAACCACAGAAATATAAGGCAAAACAGAGTTATAGATATTAATGAGGTTGAGAGTTACGGAGGAGAAGGTGAGGAAATCCTGTCTGATTGCTTCTACTTTCTAATTTAAATGGGAAAGAAAGTCCCAACTGAGTTTGAGGATGGCAAGATAAGACATCGAAACAGATATATCAGTTGTGGATGTGAAATAGTTGACCCGGCAGACGGGAGAGAAAGTGCGTAAGAAAAATACAGTATAAGGTATAAGGTTGGTCATGATGCTGTGAGGGAGTAATGGGTGATGACTGATCTGGCTTCTTCAGGCTGAAGGGGGTCATAGTTGTTGATCGGCAGTCAGAGGTACTCTATAGAGGGTCTATCTAAAAGCCCTTGATAGACACCAGGCATTTTCATGTTGGGGAAGCGTATAGCTTTAAGTCTTTGATTCCCTTTTGGCTCTAGAGGGTAGGCAGCCCATGTACATATGCAGAAAAACCTCAAATGGTTCTTTTTCAACACATAAAGGTCAAACATTTTCCAGTGCTTAAGAATGTATTCTAAAGGAGTGAGAGACTTTGACTTTGAGCACCCCATGTCTCCATGCAATGATCTCAGTGGAAGACCTCCAAATGGGGGAAAGAACTCCCAACTTGCTAGATGTCCAGTATAAGTTTGTGTTTTCTAAAATTAAAGAATAAATTTTAGGAACAATGGAGGTTAAGAGTAGAATATATTTATTGGGGGAAAGAAAGCTTCTGTCTGAGAGAGACAGAAGGGGGCCCGAGTGAGTTGTCCAGTACACTGTACTTGTATAGACAGATGTGTGGCTGGCTTCTGCCATGAACTGTTATATTAGATGTACCTGACACGAGTCTCAAATTGAGAAGGCACTGGGTTTAATCCCCGGTACCACCACCCAAAAAAAGGATCAAGGGATTCTGTGTTGCTAGCCAAATGCTGGGGTTTGAACATATGCTCAAAAATGCAGGAAAAGGGAAAAATCAAACTGACAACTTTTGCTTAATGTGCATAAACTGTTGCGCATACACCAGCTGGGCCATATAAAAAGAACAGAAAAAAAACAGAAAATGTTCCTTGGCCTTATACTCTGACTCTGCTCTCAGGCAGCTGTCCATACCTCTCTATGCTGCCCAAGGGCCCAGGAGTCCCCAGCCTGCTCCTTTACTCTACCCTAGAGCTTCCTCAAGGTGGGCAGGGTGGCTAGGAGATGTCAGTCCCACAGTACCTGAAAAGTTGTCAAATCAAAAAATCCCAGAAGCCCAGCCCTACTGTATTAGTCAGTGTTCTCATCACTGAGACACAATACCTGACACAGCTTAAGGGAGATGATTATTTCGGCCCATGGCTTCAGTGGATGCAGTCCATGGTCTGCAGGCTCCAAGGCAGAAGCGCTCGGCAGAGGAAAGCTCACAAAGCAGAGAGAGACAGGAGGAGCCAGGGAGGAGAACACACCCTCCCGAGTCCCACCTCAGTCCCACCTCCACACAGCACATTCAGCTACTGAACTTATCAATGGATACATCCACTGACAGTACAGCACCCCCATCATCAATCACCTTCCAGACATGAGACTGGGGAACATTTTGGATCTAAAACAGAACACCTCTGAAAAGTATTGTTTTGTTTTTTGGGTACCGGGAATCCAACTTAGGACCTTGCACTTGCCAGGCAGGTGCTGTGCTGCTGAACTATATCCCCTCAGCCTTTTTTAAGACAGGGTCTTGCTGTGTAGTTCAGGCTGGCCTTGTACTCACTAGGCAGCCCAGGCTAGCCTTAAACTTGTGGCAATCCTCCTGCCTCAGCCTCCCGAGTGCTGGGATTACAGATGTGTACCACCACAAACAACTGAAAGGTATTCTGGACAAACATGAAAAGCAGAAGAATATTTATTTATTTATTTATTTATGAACATAGTAGCTATGCAATAGTGGCTACTCAGTAGATTTTCCTTTCAATGTTGCACATTAATTACAGATTTTAAGCAACTATCTTTAGAATGTTTAGAAAGTTATAATTATCTAGTGCTATATACTATAGAGTTTTGGTTTAGTACTGCGGATAAACCCAGGGCTCCACACATATTAGGCAAGTGCTCTACCGCTGTGCTACATCCCCTGGTTATACTTTTTCAAAAACTGCAACTACAATTAGTCTTTCAAAGAATTCCACACGGTTTATACTTTGCTCTTCCCGGTGGCCAGTTCCATCCCGGTGGATGTTCTCTTTGGAGCGCTAATGAATGATCCGGGCAGGATGGGCTGAGGGCTTTGGTAGGCACCGCTCCCTCCCTTTCCTTCAGCCACCTCAGCAGCAGCCAAGCTGTGGGATCTGGGCTTTGAGGCGCAGGTTACCTGAACACAAGCTCTTCGCTCTGGACTGAAAACACAGGAAGGGCACAGGCGGGAAGGCCTGACCCCTGGAGTGACAACTTAAATGCTGTCCCAGCTTCACAAGGCCTTCGGCCCAGTCCTGCCAAGGGCATTCAACTGAACTTTGGTTAAGATACTAAAAAGCAAACAGACCCTAACTTGCTTTGAGGACAAAATGTAACTTGCTCAGATGCTGCAATATTAAAATGAGTTTTCTTCTTTGCTTCTGCTGTGCTGTGGGTCAAACCCAGAGCCTCACAGATACTAGGTAAGACCTTTGCTGTGCAGCTACACCCCCATTCCTTGAGCAATAATCATTTTGTCTTTCATAGAAACTGTCCAGGCTGGATTCTGAAAAGTTATAAACTTTTCTCTTTGGATCTTGTTAACATCTTGTTGCTGCTAATTGTAGCCGAGGTATCAGCAAGGAAGTTGTGTAACTAGAGGAAAGCTTCCTGCTGTGAGACAGCTGTGAAACACCAGGAGCCAAGCTAGGCCTGGTGGTGCATGCCTGTAATCCCAGCACTTGAGAGGCTGAGGCAGGAGGATCATTGCAAATTTGAGGCCAGCCTGGGCTACAAAGTAAGCTTAAGCCTAGCCTCAACTACACAG